AGACTCCACGAATGAAAGTGACCCAGGAAAGAGTAGGAGAAGGCAGTGGGTATCTCCAGCTCCTGGGTCTCACCTGATTCCCAACTCCTCCTCAGAGCACCATGCTGGGTGTCTCTGCATACCTATGTGTCTCTTTGACGTACCCCGGAATCAGAAGAAACCCCACATCTGCCCCCATTTCTTTGTCCCGTCCATGACATCTATAAAGAGGCAGTGATTCCTAGAGGGCCTGGGGCTAAGCCAGCCCAGGTCCGAGAAGGGGCAGGAGAAGAGGAGCTGCCCACAGGCATCTCCTGGCTCCCCGGCATGGCCAGCTACCCCACTAGACATTAGCAAGGCAGCCCCACTCCTCTGAGACAGCCCCACTCCTCTGGGCCCACCCCATGCCACACTGGTAGGCCCTTCATCTGGGTCTGCTGAGCAGTTTCACTGAAGGGTGGAGCTAAAGGGAGAAGGAAACACAAGATGGACTACTACACAAGCCCAGCCCTGGCCCCAGGAAAACATCACAGTCACAGCCTTCAGTAAGGAGACCCCAACTGCATCACGAAGTTCCAGGTCTCAGTGTGTGTGGCCTCATCTGCCTCAGTTTCCTCGTCTGTAAAGCAGGGGAAGTGAGTGTATCCGTGTGGAAGCTCCGTGCTCCTCCAGCACCAGCCTGTGGGGTCTGCTTGGTGCCACTTGTACTCTGCAGCCTTCCTTACGGGAAGCCCACTGTGGGCCAGGCATTGTCCCGGCCCTGCAGGTACGGGGAAAACACAAACGGTTAAGGCCTGGAGCAGAAAGCACCGTATTCATTAAACAACGAGGCTGGGGCTGAGGAAGCCAGCACAAGAGGAGGCTGGGAAGACTTCGGAGGACAAGCACCTGTAAGACAGGTTCAAGGAGCCAACCAAGGAGCACAACGTCTGTGTGTGCTGAGCAGGGTGAAGGGAGCTGCTGGGTTAGCTGCCCTGTACTGCACCCTGGATGACAACCCATTGTTTGGGTTTTCAGCTCCCTCCTTCTCCCCTCTCAAGGCCAGGCCTTATCTTGTCATCTAGACGGCCCCCAGAGCCTCGGAGCCTAGGAGCAGCACAGGCCGGGGCGGGGGCAGGTGCTCGCTTAGAGTCTGAACCACGTACCAAAACAGCACCAGGAGTGCCCGGAAAAAAATAGAAAATGCTGTCTCCTTCACAAAAGTCTGTTTAAGGTGCTGTTGATGAAGGAGAAAAGGAAGATTTCCCAAGGCACTCTGTTTCCCAGCAGGTACAGGCCCAGAAACCCGAAAGCTTTTTCTCAGAATGCACCCTGCCCCAAGCCAGCTGCCTCAATTCCCGCAACAACCTCTCCTAGCTTCAGATGGGCCCGAGGTTTTAGGGAAATACTGCCCCTAATGTACGGCTCTCCAACCTGCAAACTATAGCAAAAAAAAAAAAGGAAAAACCCACCTTTCCTACACTCCTTCCCCACGAGAACCCGATTTTAAATTGTCCTCTGCACTCTGCAGATGAGATCTGATTTCTAAGCATGGTTCCTTTTTTTTAATGATCCTGAAGGTAATAACAACTTGGGACACAGATGTTAGAGTGGAAAAAGAAGTGTCATGGAGACTCCAGCTCTGTGAGATCATGGGGAGACGCTCAAGTGCCTACTGCAGGAAGGTCACATGTGTGTGTCAGGGGTCCCTTACACACCTGAGCTTTAGTCCCAAGCAGGCCAAATCCAAATAAAACTCCTCCACCTCCTGTTCAGATCCTGGCCCCAGCGCTTCTGACTTCCACCACTTCCCCCAGCAGGTGGTCGGGGGCAGGGGTTGAGGGGCAGCTCAGAATGAACCCCTAATCAAAAGGGAACTACGGGGTACATACAAGGGTTTCCCATCCAAAGGTCTAGCACTTCACAAGTTTAGAACTAAACATAATCTCCGCAGAAATAGCTACAAGTGGCACAGACATCAAAGGAAGCAAATGGGGAGAAATGGAAACACAGCTTGATAAATGATGTAACTGAAATTGCCCTTTGCAGGGCCCGGCTGGACTCCTGCTCTTCCCTGGTTATGACGATGGTCACCGTGCCCTGGGATCCCCGGAGGGCTGGAGCAGGATTCAGGGTAATATCCCTCCAAAGCCTTTTAGGAAGGTTGAGCCACAGATCCAACTCGAGGTGGTAATTATATGTTTTAAAAATCCATTTAACAGAGCAAGCTAATAACTGCATCTGAGAAGCCTTCATTTGTGGCCACCCAGCACCAGCGGCTCCCGTCCTAGCCTTGGAGACTTGGACAAAAAGTTGAAGCACACTCAAGAAATAGCTCAAGGTTAGATTAAAAATCAGAACACCCATGAAGATTAACCTGACTCATTAATATCACTGCCTAATAGGAGACAATTCCTTGGAGGGCAAGGCTTGGGGCTGGGTTTTGTTCTAGGCCTAGGAGCACCTTAATTTGCATTTATATTAAAAAAAAAAGGGGGGGGGCGGGGGGAAAACAGAATTAACTGGAAAGGTGCTTTGTTTCCCGTAAATTTGAGCTCTTCTGCTACACAGCTTCTTAGGGCAGAGAGCGGAGGCTCCATCAGCCTTTGTCCAAGAGTGTGGATTCTGTTCCTACTAGGTGTCAGCCACACTGTGCCTGGCAGCTGAAGCCCGCGGGATCTCACCTGGACCCTAAAAGTCAGCCTGTTGGGTGGTTACTGTGAGATGTCCCTTCTACAGGTGAGGAAACTGAGGTCAGTAGTGGGGAAATGACCTCCTTATGGTCTTACACTATGGCAGAATTCAGATTCCAAGCCAGGTCTGTGGGTTGCAAGTTGAATGTCTTTCCACAACAGGACAGCTGTATTAGTGTTAGAGCTGTTTTTTATTCACACACGCACACACACACACGCATTTGCCCCCCCAACCTTTCTCTCTAGAAAATCAGTGGAAAACCCAAAGAAGGAAGCGAGGAAAATCAGTGAATCCCTCAGACAGATGGCCTCTGTCCCTTATTCATACAAGTCCTACAGCCCCTGAGGCGAAGCCGACACCCTCCATTTGGCTGCACTTCCCTTGACAGCTTCTCTTTGGAGTTCTAACCATTAGAGGCATACACCCAGAACTACCAATAAGAATCAATCACGGAAACACACCTCAGCATGAACTTCATCAGTCTCAACAATGTATGTCTTAAGGAAAACTGGCACATTTCAGGGTTTGCGTTTAACACCAATCCTCTCCTCGATGTTGCAAGCTCAACTCTCAGGATCGGCCAAGCATTTTATGTGCCTGTTTTACTACTGGAAGCCAGCATGCTAACCAATTTCACCTGTCTTCTGTCTTCATCCCTAAAGGCGTGTTTAAGGGGCTTGGGGCTTTCTCCCCTCCCCAGGGCTGTTCAGTTTCAGAGGCATATTTCTTACTCTCCAGCCCTCCAGCAAACAGGCCCCTGTCCCCCAGAATCACTGCCCTGCATCTGCATGCCTCTGCCACAGTTTAAAGCCAAAGATAATGGCAATGACTGACTGGCCCTCTCAGATGCTGGAAACACAGCGTGGGAAGGGAAGGAGTCATCTGTGTTTGGGGTGCTGGGCAAAGGGCGTGGGGCAAGCAGGAGCCAGGCTGATTATGTAGATAACAGAAGGACAATTTCCTTCACAAACAGAAAAACCTGCACCAATGAATTAAACATTTAAAACAAGATGACTCTCTAAAAAGTATTTTCAACCAAGAAGGAAAGACAGGCCGTCCTGTGCTGGCGCTTCCTGTTGCATATGGCACTGAGAAATCCTGTTTTTTCAGCATGCAGAGATTTTCAGACAAAGAAAAATATCAAGGGGGAAATTAGAGGAGGAGGTCCAGAGAAGTGAGACAGGAGAGGCTAGGGAGAAGTCGGGAGAAGGAGGAGACCCCTGCCCAGAGCACAGGGGTATCAAGCCCTGAGGGGTGCAGGAAACAGACCACCCCTGAGCTAACAAACTGGCCTTGACAGGTCTAAGGAGATGGCCCTAGAGAGGCAGCCTGCCTCACTGGGACAAGCGAACCAGAGACACCACCCTGCCTCCTGCCACGCAGGTTATCCACCTCTCTACCCCTATGGAGGGACCTTCCCCCGCTCCAACAGGTCTCCAAGTATAATGTCTGGGTGTCCCCCCAGCCCCCAGGGAACACTGCCCTCAGGACTCACCAGAGACCCTGCTCTGTGCATAGCGCCCTTGGGTATCCCTGTAGTCTACCAGCTGGACCCCCCTCTTAGGACTGAGGCTCAAGTTCCCCGCTTTTCTGGGCAATATCTAGACCGGCCTTTCCCACTGTCACAGCCTAGGGAATGGGCAGGTTCCGCCCTGCCCCCACTCTCCACCTCTACTGAGAGCAATTGAGGGGCTGCCACCCCCACCCCAAGCACCAGAGAGCAAACTCTCTCCTCCCAGGGGCCTGGGAAGTCCAAGCTTCAGAACTGGAACTCAGAGAGGAAAAAAGGAGCCGGAGGAAGAGAGATGAAATCTGAGCTCAGAGAAGCGTGGAGGGGGGCCCAGGGGGTATGGAGGGTCAGTGCCTCCCACCCCCCAGGCGCACTCCCCTGCCACCTGAGTCCCTCTAGGAGCCATGGGTGCCAGGCCAGCCCTCTCCAACTCCCAGAGAGGTAGTAAGTGTAAGGCTCAGAGCCCCGCGCAGCCCAGCCCGCGCCGGGGCGGTGGGTGGGTGGGTGTCTGCTATGGGATTATTCTTAGCGCTCCACTCTCTTCGCAAAAGTGGCGCCTCCGCCCTCCCGGCTCAGGCACACTCGCTCGCTCGGGGCTCACACGCCCGGCCCAGACACCAGCACGTTGGAGAGCACCGGGTGGGGTCCCCGAAGGGTGAGGTTCGGAGGCGCCGCAGAGGTGGGGGCTCCCTAGATAGGAGGGGGCGCTGCGGGAAGGACCCCCAGGGAGGCTGCGTTTAACCCTCGACGCCCTGTACCCAACCCTGCGCCGCGCGCTCTGCCGCCTTCCCGGACTCCTAACGGGGCGCGGGAGCCCGGCGGCGCACCCAGCCCTTACCTATGGTGGTGATGACCGTGATGGCAAAGTAGAAGGAGCCGGCGAATTTCCACTGGACGCCGGCGCGGTGCGGCTCGGACTGCAGGATCACCAGCTCCAGCTGCCGGTAGTCCTCGCTGCTGATGTTGTACTTCCCCTTGATCCGGATCTCCTCGGCTTTGAGTTTTTCCTCCTCGCGCATCTCGTGGTCCGACTCCAGGGCGTCGAACACGGCGGCGCCCACCAGCAGGTAGGTGAAGGTGCAGACGATGAGGGACAGAGTCCGCACGTTCTGCCTCTTCATGGCCGCCAGCAAGGAGCCGGCGCGGGGGGCATGTCCCGCAGGCTCACAGCCGCGCGCGTCCCACTGCAGCGCCCGGCGGCCGCCGCCGCCTCCTCCTCCGCCGCCGCCGCCGCCGCCTCCAAGTTGTAAGCGGCGGCGGCAGCAGCAGCAGCAGCAGCGGGGAGGCGGGGGGCGGGGAGGCTGGGGGGGGCCCCCTCCGCTGGGGCCGCCACAGCCACCGCCACCGCGAGGCGGCTGGCGGGGCAGGGGCGGCGCGGGCCCGGGCTCAGCCGAGAAGGCGGACAGGCACAGGAGGCTGCTCGAGCGCCGGGGCCAGGCGTCCGGGAACCCCGACACCCTGCGCCAGACCCGGCCGAAGCAGCCCGCCCCACTGCGCAGGGCCATGCAGGGCGGCCCCGCTGGGTACCGCGCGGGCCTCGCTGCCCTCCGCACCCCGCCCCCCGCTCCCGCGGGAAAAGCAGGGACGGGAACCGGAGCCAGAAAGCGGCCGGAGGGCGGCCGCGGGGCCCCGCACCCCTGTGGGTCCAGCTCGCGGGTGGCGGCGCCCAGCAAGAAGCCTGCAGGTCCGCGCGCCCCGCGGGACCTGCTTCCCCTTTTAGCCCTCCTCGCCCCCTCTCGGTGATGGGGAGGAAAAGTTTGCGAAGTGGCGGTGTCTCTGGAGTCCCCTGCAAGCCGGGAGGGGGGCGAGCAGGTGCAGCGGGCGGGGCAGCCCGCTTCCCAAAGGTCCAAGAGCCCAGCGCCCACCCGGGCGCGCGGGGGCGCAGCGGGGTCCCTGCCGGGCGTCGGCCGGTGAGCGAAGTTTGCTCGGCTCAACCCCCAAGGCGCGGGAGCCGGGCGCGGCCCCAGGACGGCAGGGACCGCGATGGAGCGGCTTCGGGGGCGGCCTGGGGACGGCGCGGTGGCGGTCGGCCAGCCCGCTCCTCCGGGGGCGGCGGGCGCGGCGGCGGCGGCGGGAGGGGTCCCGCGAGCCTCGCGGAGCAGCCGAGCGGACGCGGGCGCATGAGCCGCGCGGGGGTCGGGGCCCTCCGGCGTCCGGGCGTCCCGGGAGGCGGCCGCTGCGCTGGTCTGCCCCGGGCGCTACGTGCGTGCGCGCCGTTGGGAGCCCGAGTGTGTGTGTGCGCGTGTGTATGTGAGTGTGCGTGTGTGTGTGTGCGCTTGGCAGCCCCGCTCCTGCGGGAGGGCCTCGGGGAGCGGGGGCCGGGCTACGCCGAGGCCGGGCCTCCCTCCCTCTTTCCCTCCCTCAGCCTCCAGGGCGCGCCACCTCCCGCCTGGTCCCCAGCCAGCTGGCGAGGCTGCTGTGGCAGCTCCCGCTGCAGACCGAGCGCGGCGCAGGGCGCACGCGGAGGGAGCCCGGGAGGGGCGGCCTGAGCCGCAAGGGAGGGGACGGGGGCGGAGCCGCCGGCCGGTTTTGGCGGGGGATGGGAGGATAAACGAGGCCTCTTGGGTGCTTCTAGCCCGGCTCCCCAAGAGCGCAAGCAGCCCTGGCTGGTGGAGAGTTTGAGGGACTCGCAGTTGGGGGAGGGAAACGGGATTCAGCCGGAGATGGCAGACTGGCAGCTTCAGGCAGATCGTGTGGAAAGTGGGGAGCAGAAGGGGAGGGGGCCATGGCACACCGGAACGCGGCGGCAGCGGTGCATGAGGTCTCCCCACCCCCCGCCCAGCCACCCGAGGCGGGAGCGTGTCGTTGGCCAGGGACATGGCCTAGGGGAGTGGTGGGGTCCCAATGGCTGACTCGGCCCCCTCGCCTCCCAGCGGCACAGTCCGCTAGGCCCAGCACCTGCAGACCTGAGTCGTTTCCCCTTGAGAGCGCTAAGGATAGCATGGGCCGCCACTTTTGGAGTCAGGACAGCAGGGAAAGATATCGCAATCCCCCGACCCAATGCCCTCTCTGTTGCTTTACTGAAAAAAAAAAAAAAAAAAAAAGGAAGAAAAAAAACCCACCCTGATTCCCCACAGCTGGGCACAAGGTGCGCGCCGGCTGCAGCCCTGAGCCACGCGGTAGCCCCTCTCGGGACCACCTGGGGTAGGAACGCGAGGCTAGGGCCGGGGCGCACCTATTCCTTGCTTCCAGATGAGGCCTCTCCAGGCTTTATCTCCTTCCTATTTAGGCCTCCTCCCTCTCCCCGCCCTCTCCCTTTAGGCTTTCAAGGGTCTTTCCCTTGACCACCAGCTTCCTCAGTCCACCTGGAGCAGTGGAGTTTCAAACGGACAGACCCAAGCCTCAGAGACCCCGGGGCTCCCCTTTCTCTCCTGACTCCAGCCAAGGAAGAGATGGAGATGGGAAAGGGTCGCCTGGCGGCGGGATAGCAGCTGGCTAAGGGGTGGCTGGGGAATCAGACCAAACCCTTGCGCAGCTCGCGGGCTCCAGGAGACCAATCCCCTCTGTGGGTCGCCCCCGGGAGCTGTGCTTGGCCTCCCAGGCCTCAGGGACTCTGGGACCAGAGGGTCTGGGACCCCAGTGCTTCAACGAGGCTCCCCAGCTGGGACGCTCTGCACCCCACTTCCAGGGCTCGCGGGTGCCCACCAGGGAAGGGGAGCCCGCGCTGTGGGCTACGTCTGAGCCCTAAGGTCCCCGCTGGGTCTGCGGGCGCCCTGGGGCGCAGGAGTAGGGAGCCCCACCCCAAGCAGGCACTCTCCCCAGAATTCATTTTGGAAACCAAGGCCCCCGCGCTCGGCAAGTGAGCCTGGCTGCCGGGTGAGTCACCGCGAGCGGGCGACAAGGATTCCCAGCAGCTGGTAATTAATTGCGCCGTGGCTCAGCCCACGACGGAACCCCAGTCAGGCCTCCCGCCGCCCTGGCAGCCGCGCCACCCCTGAGTCACAGCCGTCGGGCCTCCGCGCGGTCCGGAAGCCGCCTGCCCGCCTCGGCGCCACCAGGGGGCACTGGACTCCGACCCACGGGGCGGCCGCGCAGCCGGCCTCGGTGCAGGGAAGTCCAGGCTGTCCCCGCGGCAGCGCGGCCGGGGGAGGGGCGCGCCGGCAGACGCTGCGCTCTGCAGAGCCACTTCGATTTGGTTTACGGAACTCCATTTGCATACAGCCTTTCAGGAAAGCGCAACCACTGTGTGCGTACTGGAAGGACCTCGGAGATGAATTACTCCAAACCCCTTGTTTTACAGATGGGAAAACTTCCAGCAAGACAGGATCACGTGCCCAGGATCCCACGGTGTTTCCGATGTGGAGCCAGCGCTGGAATACTCTCCCTGGCTTCTGTCTAGTGCTCCTTCGAGGACCCTTGCAGCTTTCTGGCCCCAAGCTGAAATGCCTTGACTGACCACCTACCAGCCCCCAGGCGCTGGTTCTTCCTCTCCTCCACCCTCAGAAATAGACCCGTGGACTCAGGCCCGCCCAGGCAGTGTCTGAGCCGTGGAAGTGGAGGGTTCCTCGTCCTCCCGTCCACTCCCCCCATGTGCCACCTTCCAAGGTGCGGGACCTGTGGGTGGCATGGAAGCTCTTTGGAGCTGAGCCTGGGGCTCAAACATCTTCCCTGCGTCCCCAGCATCCACCCCGATGGTGTATGCCACATGGCAGCCCAGAGAGTCCGCTGGGGGCAATGCCTCTGGGTCTGCCACCCTCGAAGCCCCTGTGGGTCTGGGAGTCCCAACTGCAGCCTCACCTGAAGAAGGATGCGGAACTGAGGTGTGGCCAGAGTCCAGAATTCCCCAGGGCCACAGTGATTGGCTGGACTTGAACGTGTGAAGGTCCACCTCAACCAATCAGAGCCCTCCTCTGGGTAGGGCTGTCAGCAGATAGGTGACCTGAGGAGGGAGGCGGGTTCTTACTGACGTTGAGAACCCGGATGCAGGCACGTGGCACACACGCAAGGGTGAGCAAGTGCATTCTCTCGTGGGTTTAAGCCACAGTCAGCTGGTCCCAAGCCTGCCTGGTGCTGCTGGTGCCCATGTGCTGTGTTCACAGCTGTTTGTGCCCTCCAGCAGCCCCACCCTGGGCCTCCCTTGGACCTGTTTCTGTAAAAACAGATGTACCTTATTAGCTAATAAAGAACATCATGGTTTTATAACTCTGTCTGCTTGCCGGTACTTGTTCACTTCGTGCTTTACACATGGTGGGTGTGCCTGCAGCCCCTGTTCTTACCTAGGAAGGCCCAGCAGTTTATCCTGGTCCCACAGTGAGTAAGGGAAGACCCTAGTCCAAGGCCAGTACTTCTTTTGCATCACCGCAGTGTGTCTGGGCCAGGGCAGGCCGTCTGTGCCTCCCGAACATCCTGACTCCTTGGGTATGTTCAACGCTTTGCCACATTAATCCCCACATTTTTGAAAACAGGCAGGGGTGCACTCTCATCATACCCATTTTACAGATGGGGAAGTCTAGAGAGGAGAGTGGGGCCATAGGTGGGCTCACTGACCCTGCATACAGCCTGCCCTTTCCTCCACCTCTGCCCAGGGCAGACATTGCTCATTGATCCCAGCACTGTCTTTGGCTGGGGTCTATTACAGCCTGAGAATGTAGAACACAGGGATACACATAAGGCCATTCCTGGACTGTTTCCACTGACCTGTTTCCTTTCAAGGAATGTGAGGCACCAAGGAGTCCAGTGGCTCCAAATCACAGAGAGGAGATGTGATGAGTCTCCCCTTCCTCAGTAGCCTCCCTGCCAGAACTAGAGGTTCCTCACTCTGCTCCTAGCTGATTTCTCAAGGCCAGTGACATTTGCACAGTTGATGGCACAGTTACTGTCTTCACTTTAGACCTCCAGCAGTGTCAGATTCCAGAGAAAAGCACTCCCGAAACAGGCAGCCAGGCTCATCCGGGGCTTCCCAGCCTCCTCTTTAGGATGTGGACAAGTGTGTTCTGTAGTTACACAGTTTGAGACACATTGGGTTAAACAGGCAGATGCAAGACTTCTCAGAGCCTTTGTTCTGCTAACAGGCATGATGACCCCTAAATGGGTATGCTGTGAGCAGTGTCTCCCAGACTCATTTAGCTGCAACACCCAGGTCCCGGGGACCATGCTTTGGGAACTGCTGGCCCAGCCCAGATACCTGGATACAGGGAGGCAGGAGGTCTTGGTTCCGCTTCCGGCTCTGCATAGACAAGCCTTGCACCAGTTCATGTCCTTCGGCCAGCTCACTGGCCCTGCTGCCTGCAGCAGGCATCTCCTTCCCTTCTCCACCTGCCACCAG